CGCCCATGTTTGGCTTGTTATCCGTTCGCCGGCGTCAGGGGCCCCCCGCGTGATGCTGCCACCTCATCGGGCGCTGTTATTCATGTTGAAATAGCGGCGGAGGGGGAAAAAAAACGTTAATAAATAATAATTATTATAATAAAAATAAACTTTAGCCAAGTTGTCTGATCTCAAGTGGTTAGGCATCTTTGGATTCATAATTAATTTTCGGGCTAATTATTTTTTTGTCGCTGCAGTTTATTTGTTGTGTTCAGTGCTGAAAGAATCCCCTCTCGTGGTAATGGCTCCCATGTGACTATGTAAATCTGCTCCCTACATACAGCGGTTTTTGATTTTTACGCTCTTTTATCGCCGCATTACAAATACTCCCCTGACTGACCCCGCGGCATCCAGAAAATTGACAGTGTGATTGGGTGCATAAAGATCTCAGAAATGGGGCCGCGAGCCCGTCGAGCATGAGAGAGAGAGCACGGGCGGGCGGGCGGGCGGGCGGGCGGGCAGGGCACTGCACCAGCCGCACGTTCTTGTGTGGCACCGTTGCCCGCCTGCGATCTCCTCACTGTCGCGCGGTGCGGTCCGGGGTAGGTTGGGGGGGGGGGGGGCCGTCCCTTACCCGCGGTGTCTCTGCTGCGCCGCTGCCGCCCCTAATTGGCACGCGGCCCCCAGGACCCCATGGGCAGAGACTCTGACATTTCCCGTGCCTGTCGCGAGGGAAGCGGCGCGCGGGGGGGGGGTGGTGGTGGGGGGGGGAGTTTGGAGGAGTGGTGGTTGGGGGGGGGGCGGCTCGGAGGCGGTGGCGCGGGTTACCGCGTCCACGTTTCCAGGCGGCCGTCAAAAGCCATTAGCCGTCGCGTGGACCTGCCCCGCGGCATTTCCTCGCGGTATCTAAGCCCGGCCTGGAAACCTGGGTCCCCGCGCCCGCGCCTCCGTCTCTAATGAGCCTCCACAGTTGTTGATGGAGGACGAGGAGGCGGCGTTGTGAGCCCCTGGTTTTTTTTCTTTTCGGAAATCAATTATTATTTTTCTACGTTCCCGCACGTGATTATGATCCCTTTAATTGTCGACAGAGGAGCAGTGCGGCCGTTTCGGTCGCTCGGAGGCCCGCGGGCCGAATGTGCGGTCAGGTGTGCTGTCATGCCGCCGCAACGAGCGATGCAGATTTATTGAAGTGTCGTCAGTTCATCACGCATGGCTCTACTCGTCGCGTCAGACGTGGAACGCCTCTCTCCTCCTCCCTCTTGAGAGAGAGAGAGAGGGGGAGAGAGCTATAAGTTGGGTTATTTGTTGACGTTGGTTTCAGACCAGAGTGATGGTGCGGTGGAGTGGTGGCGGAGTAGTTAGCACAGTGTGCTACGAACCCGGCGAGCCGAGTTTGATTCCCGGCCACGTCTAGCTGGCTCATGCAGGTTGGTGATGGGGGCTGCCTAGAACCGATTCAGATATGGCACGCCACTGATGCTAGGCGTGGCCGGGAATCGCGTCAGCCCACATCAGCCAGGTTGGTGAAGTATGGTCAAGCAACCGCCATGAGGAATCCATCCTTCATAATCCAGCAGCAGGCTGACAATGCGCCGTCACTCGTTCGTATGACGAAGGATTTGGTAAACCGCAGTCCTCACGACCCAATCGCAGCACGTCCGTCCCACGTTTACCAAACATCCCATTGGGAATGCAAATTACGGTCGTGGCAAACTGCACGTGCCGGGCGATTGCCCGACATGTCCCGCGTGATGTGGAGAACGCTCCTTGAGTCGGCCGAAACCCACCCTCATCCAGCAGTGGATCGAGGAAGGGGCCGTGCAAATCAGCGGTACCGGAGGGGAGCTGACCCGTTGCCGGCGTCGCGCTACGGCAGCGTGGGGTGAGCCGTAGCCCAACCTCCCGGGAACCGACACCACGCGGTCTCTCCACGCTGCTGTCTCTTAACTTCCCCCAAAGGATTGAATCGAGATTGAAAAACAACCGCTTTTTTGTGTTGCATTTCATTTGTTGTCTTTCGTCCGCACCTCGCGTTAGCACGGTTGGCTACGTACGGTGCGAAAGAGGTTCAACATACATACATACATGCAAAGGCCTCTCTGGGCCCACATCGATGGACTTTGTGGCGAAACCATTAATGTTATGCAACTCTTTTAGGCGGCAATGTGGTGGCGCAGTGTTAACACTCGTGCTTTGCGGCATGTAGCACCGGGATATGATTCCCGACTCGCGCACCTTACCACGTGGGGTTTGTGTGTTATGCGCCCGTGTTCTGCGTGAGATTCCTCTGACTTCTCTGGTTTCCTCCCGGAGGAGCTGAATACACGCAGTGACATTGTTCACTCATTCGTGGGCTTTCACGACCAATATTACGATTTGTAACCGGTTTATTTTAGGTTTGGTCGTGTAGGTATTGTGTCAGTTCTTAACTCTAATGCTCCACCAGAGCCACGCACATCAATTTGTCACGTGGGCAGACGTGCCAATTGATTGTGCTTCACGGGAAAAAAAATTGCAATGATGATGAAGAAGATCAAGCAAATTTTTCGTTCCAAATTTCCACGTCGTTTCGCTCGACATTACACAACGGCATCGTCAGGTTTTTAACAAGAGCTCAGATCTCGAGAGTGCTCTGAGCCCTTGACATTCTACTCACCCGAAGCAGCGCAAAAGCAACCAATCAGGAATCGGTGTCATTGTTGTTGGCCAAACATCTTCACCGTGGAGCAGAGGACCCTCGTGCAAAACAAAAAAAAGATTATTTGGACTCGGTGTGGCTTTCCTGGGTGACTCAGTTAAATTTTACAACTCCTCCCCCCCCCGGGGTTGCGCGTGAGAGATTTTCCTGCAGCATGCCTACGCCGCCAAATAAAGGTTCGAGGTTTTTTTTTTTGCTTCCAGGAATTCGGCGCCCCCGGTTGCCAATGTGCGGCAACAAATCACCGCCGTGATAATTACCCCCACGCGCTCTTATTCTCGGTGTATTTTCGGCGTTGTTATCGGTAGCGCGGCGCTAATATTGTGACACGGCCGAGGTGTCGCGGCGGACAGTGACCTTGTCGCCAAAACTTTGTCTGTCATCGGTCCGACTCCCCGGTAAGGACGCGGTGTAACTACCGCATTGGATTAAACGGTAAATGCCTCGTTTATAACCCCGCATTGACCAGGGACGGCCGGTCCACACGAAGGCCCCCTTGGTGCATTAATGCGGCAGTAAGCAACGATGGCTGTTCTGTACTGATGTGTTCTAATAATGGTGAAGCTGAAAATAATTTAGAATTAATCTTAAGCACAATCGTCAATAACACTGTGGCCTTGAAAGGAAAATTGTATAATCGGTCACGTTTTGGACAATGGCCCTTCTTCAGAGAACATCAATGTGCTAGTTCTTCGTTTAAGGCCACAGTGTTATTGATGTACGTGTTGAGTTTTGTTTTGTTGTTTGTGCCAATATCGCCAAAATGATTTGTTGAAATTTGTGTTGTTGTTATTTTGACTCTCCTATAAGGGAAATACATTTTAGGTTTTAATTGCAATAGTGAACCAATGATGTATGGGTATAAGCGATGAGTTATTACAATCTAGAAAAGAAAAATATCTGAAAGAAAATAAAAATATCTGAATATTAAAATAATTTTAAGTGCCAATTTGCTACACATTTGTGTCACATTGTGGCAAACGTTGAATGGGATCCTTACAACAAGAGACCTTACAACAATCGCATTGAATGCCCATTGCAAGTGCATGACGATACGATGATGGTTTTGTTGAACTCGAGAGACCAGGATGAGAGTCTCATTTGCAAGCGTGACCTGGGTCACCAACATGACAAAAGCAAAGCAACATGACAACAAAGTACTACACTGAAGCAAAGAGAAATCAGAGAAAAAAAACCAACAACACAAGAGCACGACCGCATCGCACGTGGCTTAATTCTAAAACTGCTTCATCGTAGCCTTACGTCGAAAGCACGCTTCCACATAAAAGCTGAGTCGTTGTACGTTTATAAGCACGTACGCCTTGCGTGTTTAGCATCGAACGCGGCCACGTTGTGACACAAGCCCCCGACACTGTGAGGTCGGGGTCAGAGTATGCCCTGGTGTATAGGTTTGTTCCGTTTGAGCGTACGGTAACGTAAACAATTTTTCGTTGAAACAAAAAAATAAATCATCCACTCTTAAATATGCACGCTTGAAAGTGTTATCTTTTCCAAACCGTTGCCGTGCAGAGGCGAAAGTTTCGAATTCAGCAGAATCCTCACCCCCTGCCCCCGGCAAGCCCAACGCGGATTTGCAACTCCGCTCGCGAACTCTGGGAGGGAGCCGCGCACGGCGTCCGCGGCAGATGCAGACGATGTGCTCGCGCGCCGCGATGAATATTCATTCCCCCTGATTAGGTCCCTTCTAAGACCGCACAACTGCCAGGGTCCATTTTGGCTTGAAGCTCCTTGGTTCGGTACATAATTCACAAGCCTTCGGGGCACACGCTTTCAAGGCACGGTTTTTTGCCCGAGGCGAGAGAAAAGGCGATGGCTTTTAAGAAGGGAGGAGATATTTCTTTAATGGCTGTGGCAGGTGAAAGGGGCGGGGGGGGGGGGCTTCTTGCAGGTTCAAAAGCCACCCTCGGTTGTGTGCCTTGTCGTGTCATAATCATAATGGATGTTGTTGTTCGTGCCATGAAAGCGAAACAGTTCGGAGTAACGTTGCGCGGAGGAGAGGGGGGGGAGCTGTGCCCCAGAAAGCCTTGCGACGCCGGGCGGCGGTGCTTTGCGCTTTCACGCGGCCTCCTCTGATGGGTAGCGGGCAACGTTGGGCGATGTGCCCCCCCCCTCCAGAATAGATGCCCGCTTAACAAACGCGGCCCCCCCCCAGACCCCCATCGTTTGTAAATTATGACTTCAGGGCGAGACGCGCTGGGGCCTCACGCGCCGCATCAATTAGTTAAACCGGAGTACTTCCAGCCCCGAGGCAAGCGTCATCTCTCCGCTTCATCTGTCGTCTCTCTCTCTCTCGATCCTTTAGGGGACGGCCTCGACAACAGCGCGGCCTCCGAGGGGGGCGACGACGACGACCTGGACAAGGACCGGAAACGGGACAAAAAGCGGGGGATCTTCCCCAAGGTGGCCACCAACATCATGCGGGCCTGGCTCTTCCAGCACCTGACGGTGAGTCCCGCGGTCGTGACCCGTTGCGGTCCCCACGGTCGTGGTCGCCGTCTGCCATGATCTAGCGACTGCTTGATGAAGACCCGCCCAAAAAGTTCTTCGCCATCATCTCACGGTATTGCAGTGCGAAGATTTGACTAGCTCAGGGGCCGGCAACCAAAAATAACAAGAAGAGGCATTATTTTTACGAATTCGGTAAAAAAAAAAAAACTCAATGCACGTGATGGACACGAGACGGTGGTCATTAATGAACGACGTCACGAAGCAGCCCTTCCAAAAGCCACGTGCGGCTCCTGAGCCACAGGTTGCCGACCCCCGGACTAGCTCCCCCGTGCACACGAGATGATTCCGTTCCTCCATCTCCGTGGTGGATGTGTGGGACACGTCTCCTTTCGCTTTGCTGCGCTCATTCAGGCGATGGTGGCATGCACGTGGCCTGTAATCCAGCGCTGTGGAGGCGAGGGTTTGTGGATCGCACGCGAATCGCTGTGAAACTCTTTTCCGGTGGGCGTCGAGGAGGGAGCCGGCACAGCAACAATATGGATTGAGCCTGTTAGGTCACCGCGGGATAGAGCGTTTCCCCCTCGCACGCGTAGGTTTTGTCTGGGTGCTTCGGTTTCCTCCCACTACTTAAACACTCATTAATTTGCTGATAAAAACTTAACATACAGAGGACCGCAGAGCTTGGGTAATTGTTGACACCGGCCCACCCCGTGGTGGCTGCCTTCCTCCTCTCCTCTGGTTCTTCAGAGTCATTGAATGTCGTGTGCGTTCTAAGTCGGAATTATCAGTATTATTTGACGGTCTCTACCACCGGCAATTCCCGCACCTCCGATAAGCACGGTTGGCTACGTACGGTACGAAATAAGTTCAGCGTACACACACGTACAACTTATTTCCAATTACATAAATGTCGCCGCTTTATTTGGTGATATCCCCTTCTCACGACACGCCCCGGCCCACGCCCCCACTGACTTTTCCTTTCACAGACAATATGACGCCTCTAACTAGTTGCGTACGATCTCTCATCCGTGTCGTTCCTCTTGCCCCGTCTCACAGTGTCCCGTAACAATTCACGTTGATGCCGTGGGGCTGGTTCACAAGGGGGGTGGGGTGGGGGGGGGTAGCGGAGGGACATTAAGTTAGCGTTCTCTGCGCTGTAATTGTTGGCAAAAAGTCACGTTCCGAGCTGTGGGATGAGTACGAGCGCGAGCAGCATTTCCCCTGGTTCCTTTTGCACGGTTTCATTTGTAGTGGCGTTAATAAATAACTATTAACATTCGCTTTCATCTCTTTGTGAGACCATAACGTGCGGTGTATGAATAATATAATAATAATTATCGTGCTTACATTTTACATTCAAGCCATCGTTCCTCTCGCGAATAACTAAAAAATCTATCGGTTTGAACAAAAAAAAATGCACGCGGCCTAAACATCTCCAGCCTTGGCACGCGGTACGTACAAGCTTCAGAGTTTGTTTTATATGACGGCCGTCACTTTGCTCCGTTTCGTACGTTCACGCACGGCTTGATTTCTCGCTCAATAATTTCCGGGTGGCTCGTAGACTTGGGTAGGTGGCGCAAGAAATAATCGCGGATGTGGAGTGCCGAGCACCGAAATATTTTCTCCGGGTCTCCGACCCAGACGGACCCCGACTGAAATTAATCTCTCCATATATTACAGCGCGTACACTATACACACACTCACAACATATACGCAGGCCTTACTATCTCATTGAATGTTGTGTGGGTCGCTGGTACAGTGGCATGTGACGCATGGCTACAGCCATCGCGAGATGTATACTGGATGTGGTGTGCCATCTGCGGAAACGTTTTCTGGGTTCGCCTAAACCCGGGTACAGGACTCAATTTGAAATTCCGAAATGAATGCACGAGCCCTCGTTGGCGCCAACGAGTCAGCGCTGGGGGGGGGGGGGGGGGTCTCCTGTAGCCGCGTCACGGCGCTGCACGTTCCCACGTGCAGCGCCGGCGACCGGCGCCGCTACCAACGCAGGGGAAGGTGCTCCGACCCTGGAGCGGTGGGGTTACAGCGGCGAGGTCACCCGTGCCCTGCCCCCTCCAACCCCCCAGTTTCCTCCTCCCCCCGCCCCCCACCCCGTGTAACCTGCGTGGCCGCTGACCAAATAAGAACGCTCGCACAAAAAGCCCTGCCTAATGGAAAGGCTTGTGAATCGATCCGAGGTCATTTGGGCAATCCACTGCATTTAATCACTTTTTATCTGCATTGAAAGGGCAAGCCGTTGCGGGGCCTTTGTCTAGCCCCGGCTGGCTAGATGTGTTGATTATGCTCTTCATTAGCCAAATTCTCAACGGGTGCTCCCCGCTCGGCTGGCTCGGGCCGAGGCAATGGATAGACTCCCGAAATCATTAACGCTGCACTCCACACTGCAGTTGCGCCGAGCCGGGCCCCCCCCCCCCCCCCCCCCCCCCAGCGCTCCGCTCCCAGCGCGACGCTGGCTGCCGCCTTCCACCGAAACTGCCGAGCGAATGCAGCTGTGCTTGGCGAGTGGACCTAAACATCGCCGAGGAATTGGATCAATTTTGTGCATTGTGTATGCGAGCGAGCGTGTGCGTGCGTACCGCACTCGCACGTTGAGCTTTCGTGGGTTTTCCTCCAGAGGGATAGCCGTCACAAACTCCCGACTTGTGTTTAAAGGTTGCTCTGCATGAATTGTCTCATTGTCCCGTAATGTCATTGACGAGCTTTTCGGCGGCAAGGATACTGATATGTTACATATTTATTCAGAGTCGCTCGTCTGAAACTGGGCAATGCGCTTGGGATTTCTCTCGTTGCGACCGCCCCCCCCCTCCCCCCCCCTTTTACCTTCAGGGTCCACGATGATTATTGTTTCGAGGCGGCACCCCCCCCACCTCTGTCCCCCGACCACCCCCACCGCCCCCTCACTCCCCATCTGATCACAAAAGCCGCCACATTAGCGGCGGGGCGGCACTGCGTCCGTCGGGCGACGGCACCGCTTTCGAGACGCTTCTGCAAACGGCTCGCTGTCGCGGAGAGAAAGATAAATGCCGGCAGGGGGTTGCGGGTTGTTTTTTTCTTCTTCTTCTTCTCCTTCTGTGTTTGGCCATGTTTGTCGGACGCAACGGAAGTGAGGGTTTATTCAGCGTGCCGGTCGAGGGTGCTCCAACCATGCGCTCAAGAGCCGCGGTGAAAGCGCTAATACCCTCTTGGCCTTTGACTCGTCGTGCCGCTCGCAGGCCTCCCCTGATCAAAGCGCACGGCTCGGAGCACTCGGGCCGCCGGCCTCGACGCGAGCGACCAAGTTCACAGCCCCCTGCCCCCCTTCCCTCCGCGTATTGCGAAGCTTTCATCGAGCGACGGCGCTCTCGCATAGCGGCTAAGAGACGTTAATGTCCTGTGGGTAAGCGGCGCGTTGGGTCCGAGCAGCGGTGGTTCTTCTCGGCATGCGTTGTTGACGCTGTGGGTACCGCGCGCGGTTATTTGATCGGGGGGGGGTTTCGGCCGGGGGGTGGGGGGAGGGGGGGGGAAGAGAGATCGTGATTTAATTGGCGGTCGTGTTTGGTATCGTAACCGCGGCGTTATTGGGTCTGAGTGGTGCGGCTTGGTCTGTTGCTGGTAACGTGAGGATGTGTACCCATCTGTTTATTGCATCGTTGCGTAATGCGGGGTATTAAGCAGCGCATTTAAAGTGTACTTAATGTTTCGATTAGCAAATGCAATTTATATTGAACTTATAACTGAACTCGTTAAGTAGTCCTTAAGTGCATTTTTGCAAGGGTCATGACCTGGCATCATTAATTACAGGACTTGACAGGCTCATGGGAGGAGAACGTAGGCCGGCTGGGGGAGTGGGTCGGAGGGCGAGGTCTAGGGAGCTGCCTTTTTGTCTTTGCAGAAAGGAGTAGGGTGGTGAGGATGGGGGGTGGCGGTGGTGGCTCGGTAGTGGCTGTGGGGTGGCGAGGGTGCTAGGGGCGGCGGGGGTGGTAAGGGGGTGGGGGGGCGGTACTAGGGAGGTCACCTGACGGCCACTGCCGTTACACAGAGATCTCCGCGTAGCCGTGACGTGGCGGCGCTCTTAAGAGCCGGTGTTCTGAGCGGTTATTAAATTGACTGAATTCCACTGATACAGTGATCTTACCCATGGCTTTCTCTCTCTCTCTCACCCCAACCCCACCCACCCCATCCTCCCGACCGACCGACCGACCGACCCCCAACCCCCCCCCACCCACCTCTTCGGTCCTGCGCATCGTATTTAAGAAGCCGAATCAAACGCTGTCAATTGGCCCCAAGTCTCAGAAGGCATGTTCGCAGGCGGGGGAGAGGGGCTGAATACAGAGCAGCAGAATAACGGAGCGCCGAGCTCTGGCCGGTACAAAGGAGTTAATTTGACTTGTATAGCCGGGGCCAGGACAATCCAAATCAATGCCGGCCTCCCTGGTGAATTGCTCTCTGTGTCGGCGGTACACCGCCGATTTCCATTTGCATGATTATGCAAATGAGTCACAATACAGACATCTGCCCCGTGCTCCACACTGCTCTCCCTCTCATCTCCTCCTCGCTCCTGCCAATGGTGAATTTCAAAACGGGTTGTTGAACGACACCAAAGCTGCCCCCCCCCCTCTGGTTTCAGGGTCGTGTCGGGTGGATTTTTCTCTTTTTCCCCCCCCCCCCCCTTTCATTTCCTACTTTTGTCGCTAAGTAGCTGTGGAGGAGTGCCGCGCGATTCCGGCCGTGCGTGTCCGCCGGAGATAACCGGCGGTGGGGAGGGACAGAGTCCACCGGAGAATTCCGCCGCCGCTGCTGCTGCTGTTGCTGCTGCTGCTGCGTTTTAATCGAAGCGAACGGCACTCGTTCACTTTCATCATTGGATTTGTAAAAAAAAAAAACATGTTCACGCTGTTCGTGTACGACCCTCTTTCGGTTGAGGGTCTCCCGCACAACCGTGCGGATCATGGGTGTAATTTGACCACGCGCTCACCATGCTGACCAGGGTGGGTTAA